ATCGGAATATTCAAAACCATTCACTGAGCGGACGGGATGCTTTATAAAATCCAACATGCTGTTTACAGTTTATAAATTAAGTGCCTTGGGAAGAGGCATCTGACTTATTCTCCAAGGCATCTAGTTGACTAGATCCAATTGGAATTCTTTGAGTTCCTGGGAAGGGGCTACTTAGCACTTCACACTCTCTGATTAGACCTAGAGTTTGTTGCTTGTCGTATTCTAGTATGAAGTGTTATTTAGTGGCAAGCCTTCTTCCATACTTTAATCTTGGAATTTTTTTTGACAATTCCTTTGAGAGAGGCTCTATATTCTGCAATCTTTACTTTAGCCCTGTCTCATATCATGATTTTTTAAAATTACAGTAAATACAAAATAATTCTGTTTTTACACTAATTCCATTCCAAAATTGTTATATTTTATCTACTTAACTTGATCTTCTTAGAAATGATGCAGTGCATGTTGGATATGAATTAGATGTTAAAGGAGTTTATCAAGGTGTCCAAAAAATTGCCCAGGAAAGCATTAGGCCAAGTCTCTTTGCTTGTGGATGCAGCAGGCAAGATGAGAGATTTAGGATAGGACCTGATCCTTAACTCAGAGGTACTAGAGCAAAAGGAGGTACATAGTAGGTGCTCAGTGAGTATGTGTTAAGTAAATATTTGTTGCAGGAAGCCATAGGAGGGAATACTTGCATATATTAGTACTGGAAACAGCTCAGTGGGGAGGATATAGATACCTAAGCACTGTCCTCCCCTGCCAGGCAAACAAGGCAAGAATAAGACCATTCTTGGCACATGCCATTTGTCTTAGCCCATTGCTGGAATAACATGTGTGAAAACCAGCACTTTACCCTCTGCCAGGCAGAAGGTCAGCCCAAGAGTGAGCTGATCCGTGGGCACAACACCATCTCTCACCCAGGAGGCTGGGTCTTCTGTAAGCTCTGCTATGTTATTTCGCTGAGGATGACAGGTGGGGAAATCTGGGCACCAGTTGTTCTTTTCCACTGGTATCGTTTGGAGGGTAGCTCCAAAGTCGGGCACGCCGGCCTACGTGCCTCTCCTGCCGGCAGAGGCTCCACACTGGAGCTATTAGAATGTGGGCTCTGTACATTCGCCAAGTCCATGTCTCAGAGACAGTATGCAGAGCACAGAGCAGCCACAGGGCTACTGAGTTCAACATGAGAGCCGTCTTATCACTCCACCCATCATTGGCAGGGCTGAGGTTCTAAGTCTTGACATTTGATTTTATGACACATGGTTTTTTTTAAAAAAAAAAAAACAAAGCAAATGGAAATAAATTTAGTTTTGAGAATTTGACAAAAGTTCCTACAGGCAGAGATACCTCTAGGCTGCCATAAAGCAGGGATCGCAAGTGATGTAAAATTTTCCTTAATTCCTGATGTTCCTCTTTGTTTCCCCAGCACTCTGAACATTTTCACCTACTCACACACTGACCAACCAGGTCTCGATTTAGCATTTTATTTTCCAGAACTTTATTTTTATTTCTTCTTCAACACGACAGTGTTAGTTCATTCAACTCGAACACTTCAGGTAAAAAATCCCAATGTTGTGTTGCAATAATAATCTTCCCTTTTTGTTTTGTGGGTTCTGTCACTCCTATGGTTGATTTTCACATTGTTGTTTGCATTGTTATTTCAGAGTTTAGTACAAAAACTGACCAGAAAGTATAATGATTTGTGAGTGTGTTGAAATGGAAAATCTATTTCTTATTAGAGGCGAAGCAACTTTTCCTCTGTCACTCTTTTATACTTTATCTTTATTACTACTTCTGGGTCCAGGTTATCATCTCTAAAGAGAAAACTAGATAATAAAGTTACATTGTGTGTGATATTAACTATCTCTTTATAAGTATAAACGTCATAATCTTTGTTTGCAAAAGTGTTTTACTTACCTTTCAAGAAAAAAAATCTGTGCTTGCAATTCAGGATGCTGCTACTAGGTGGCAGTAGTGTATAAGAACGAAAGGTCCCCTGGAAGATAGTTGGCTAAGAAAAGAGACTAGCATGCCTTTCCATCTCTATAATAAACAAATAATAAGATTATTAAAATAATCATAGTGGCACAAACATTAGACATTCATTGGCTTAGTTACTATTTTAAGTCAGCTTTAAAAATTAAGTTTTTTTTTAATGAAATTTTTGAATAGGTAATACATTCACAAGTTCAAAAATCTAAAAATACGAAAAGGTATGTGGTGAAAAGTCTTTATTCTTGTATGGAAGTAATTAATTAATTTGTTTGCTGGATATCCTTCCACCGTTCTCTATGCAAATAAAAATGAAGACAGATATATATTCTAATCACTCCCCCATTTAGCACAAATAATTGTATAGAGTTTCTGCATCCTTTTAAATAAAATTGCATAATATTTTATCAAATGAATGTTTTATAATATTTTTAACCAGTTCCCTCCTGATGGATATTTGCTTTGTTTCTAATTTTATGTTATTACAGCTGAAGCTCATATGATTTCACATGTAGGATAATTCTCAGAAGTGGAATTGCTAGGTCTAAATTATATACATTTGCAATTTTAATAGATATTGTCAAATTGACCTCTATAGAGATTGTACCAATTTATACTGCACTATTTCTAAAATATATGTTTTTCCGCAGCCTTACCAACAGAGTACATTATCAGACTTTGGAATCTTTGTTAATCTGATTGATTGAAAAAGCTGTCTCCAAGTACTTTATTTTTTATTTCTCTTAAATGAGTGAAGTTGCACATCATCTATGCTTAATAGCTCTTTACATTTCTTTTTCTGTGGAGAAAATGAAAGCATCAACAAATACAACCATACGTACACATGTACACGTAGGGAGGGTTTTGCTATAGATGCTGTTGCTTGTTTTTACGATCATTCTATCTGTGTTTCTCTTCAATTTGCTTTGCTCATTTAACCATACCTTCTGGCCATGCATACATTTTTGGTGGCCCTGATGAGAAGTTGCTGGCAGTGGGGGCTGGAGAGGGGCAGGACTGGAATATCTGCTTTTCCCTTCATCCCTTTCCTATTGACTCTTGGGGAGAAATATCTGCAGACTGGAGTGGTGAAAGAGAAATCTAATAAATTCTCTTTCTGAGTTAATTAAGGCTTTCAAGAGACAGATAACCACTTGGAAGAATTTAGTCATCTTGAAACTCATGAAAAGGTCAGGAATATTGCATCCTCTGAACACGAAACCTAAGAAAACTCTGGCTCTTTACGCTGAGGCCTTGGTGAGTTTCAGTGTAATGTGTATAGGAAAACCTTGAATATGCAGCTGAAAAGAGAGAGAGAGAAAAAGAGGCTCTTCTGCACCGCTTGCTGATTTGGAACTTTGAGTTCAGGTTTGATCAGTTTTAATGAGATGTTGCAACTAGCACGTATACAAAGGAAACTGATGCAAAGCTATATGAAATATGGTCTCCTCAACTTTAGGATTATCTTCTGCATGTGGAGATGGTGGTAGCTGAATCCATAACTATCAAGTGGCAGCATTTTAGAGCAAGATGGGACTGCAGATGCCATCTCTTCCAACTCCCCTACTCTACAGATGAGGAGACTGAGGCTGGAACAGTTTAAGTGACTTGTACAAGTTCCCCCAGCCCATTAATGACAGTGTCAGCAGTAGAGTCCAGGTTGGTCCCCTCTTTGCTGGTCCCTGTGCTTCCTGTAATTTACCAGACTTCCCTGAAACTCATGTGCTGAGGTTTTGCCATTGTCAGGACAGGTCTATCTCACATACCCTTTTCCTCTTGGAACCCCTCACCCCCACCCCACATTTACAAGATGGCCAACAGATGGCTAAGTGGGTCTGGAGCCACTCTACTAGGGCAAAGCTAACTGGCTTATAAGGACTTGAACTTCTAATTTTGATCTTATTAACACCTTGCCCTGTTTATTCAGACTGTCCATGAGTAGGAAGTTTAAAAAAATGTACTATGAACAAAATAACTCAACTTTTATAGAAACACCTTTGAAAGATATTCCAAAACTCTAATTATCATGTTCCTTTTGTTTTAGATGTAATGTCGGGTCCCCCCAGTTTTTCCTAAATGTTTGAAAATATTTTTGATACTCTCTGTCTTCTGATATGATAAAGAGCATCAGTGTTGGCCATGCCTTGGACGTTAGTGAGGTGTTTGGGGAGATCTTCAGACTCCAGTCCTTTGTCCAAGAAGTATGGTTAAATGAACATAGTAAATTTCAGGAAAACTAGTAGAGTATGATCCCATTTTAATGGTAAGTCTCCGTTCCAATGACCACTTCCTTTTTCAAATTTTACCACGGGCTCAGGCCAGCAAAGGATCTGAAGAAAAGTGTGACTCTATTGGCAAATACACACGTGCTACTTACTGCCTTAGCCACACTGGAGGCCAGTTGGTATAATGTGCATTTCAGATGTAGTTTGTCATTGATGTTGGATGGCACAGAGCTTACAGCAAAAACAGGATGAGCCCAGAGTGCAGAAATGGAAAACTAGATGGATGAGTGGGTATGGACTTGAAAATGGAAAATGTGCTTCCCCATGGGAAGTGGCCTGTGCTCATTAGTGCTGACCTGCCTCCTCTGTAGCCCTGTGAGCTGATGTTGACACCAAAGCTTACCAAGAAACTGAGTAGGCCCTCCTGCCCCCACCAACCAGGGAGAAGGATGAGACCACCCAACTCAGCTACGCTGTGGCCAGAACCACATGTTTAATCTTTACCATGGGTTCAAACTATTCTTGCCCCTAGGAACAAGGACTTCAGCAATTAAAGTTAACATGTGCTTCCATTAAACCATTGCGTCCACCTCCGAATGGTTATACATATGTAATATAAGCTATGGGTGGTGAGGGGGTTGGAGTGGATGAACGTTTATGCTAATGATACTCCAGAATATTCTCCACTCAAAATAGCATGGAAAATTTCTACTCAATACCTCCTGGGCTCCATTAGTATTTCTGGGTAAATATTTCTGGGGAAAATAATTTCTCTTTTCATTTCAGCTGTGTTGCAGATACTGTGATGGATTGCAATTGCAAAAAGTAAGACGCCATTCCAGCATACAAAGGACAATGACAACCAGGAAGCTTCAGCCAGATCCTGCCCTTTCCTTGAAAGGAACTGGATCCTAGGAGTTGACGACCCTAGCAAACTTGTAGTCCTCTGCCTCCCTCTGCTGTTATTCTTGAGAAGTTTTTCCTCACAACAATGAGAAATCATGTACTAGCTGCATCTTTTTCTATGCTCTCCCTGCTGGCGATAATGGGAGATACGGACAGCAAAACGGACAGTTCATTCATGATGGACTCAGACCCCCGACGCTGCATGAGGCACCACTATGTTGATTCTATCAGTCACCCATTGTACAAGTGTAGCTCAAAGGTAAGACCAAAGTCTCTGTGAGGGTGGCAGTATCTCTGGAAACGTGAGAGAAGCCGCATTTCTTTGTCAGGGGATGGGTAACTACGATCATAGCCCAACCCTGAGCCCTGAACTACGTGGCTGGTCCACAGGACTTGTGGGAGAATCATTCCTTTACGGTTTCCCATCACAATTTGCACTTTTGTCAGTAACCAAAAACAAAAACCAAACCCACTGCCATCAAGTCGATTCCTACTCATAGCAATCCCATAGAGTTTCCAAGGCTGTAAATCTCTATGTAAGCAGACTGCCACATCTTTCTCCCATGGAGCCGCTGGTTGTTTTGAACCACCAACACTTCGGTTAGCAGTCCATCGCTTTAACCACTGTGCCAGTAACACTGCCTAACTGACCATGTCCACAGTCATCCAGCTTCTCTCTTTTTAGGCTACTAAAAGTCAATGGTAAGGGCTAGAAGGCTTTCCCAATCAAACGTTGCTAAACACAAGGAGGGTGGAGTATTCATCTCTGGCTATTAAATTTATGAGGGGCAGTGTCCTTTTTCAGGAAAGAAAAATGGAGTCTACAAGTTATCGTGACTCCTTCTACCTCCAGTAAGAGTAAAGAGGGACGGGATGCAAGGAATACAATTGAGCAGTGAAACATAATTCTTGGGGGTCTCTTCAAAGAAGTTCCTGATGAAATAGTTGGCAGCTGGTCTCCACGTTTTACGTTACATTACTTGTAGTTTATGTGATTGTGGCCCTCCCCAAAGCAAAATGATTTCAAAAGAGAAGATAGCAATTTGATCATTTATCATTTTTACATTGATTATCTAAATCATTCTTGTTTGGGTTAGGCTATATATGTTTTGCACAGGCAACCTCATGTAAATGATGCCCCAGTTTTGAGATAAGGTTAAGAAGGAATACTATGCTTAAAAGGCCACGAAGAGTGGCCAGCCATATGGACCACCCAGAAAGGAGGTACATAGTAGGAGGGAGATGGACTCAGAATCAGACATTTCACCACTGCCACTGCTCCCAAGTAGTCACATGAATGAAATTGGCCCACACTTGACCAAAAAGAATTTGTTTAGCTCAACCCCAGGGCTTTTCACTTTAGTCTCAAGGAACCACTTAAACATTCTCATATGGCAAGTGTTTTTTAAATTACCAGTATAATTAAGACTTTTTGGTAATATCAACCACTAGAATTAAGACCATGTAAGTTAATCTCTCCACTCTCCATTTAAAAACATTATAACTTCTATATGCCTTTAAAATTTCCATAACTTTTCTGATTATAGCTCAGTGATGATGACTTATTTCATTTGGAGGGATTGGAATTTGAGTTAAATTACTTTAGCCATTATATTAAGAAGATCTATGACTGTGGGAAAAAATTCGAGATTTTTCCACTTAAGAAAAATGATCTGGCTGTTATTTGTACTTGTAGAACTAAAAAAAAGGGAGTGAATAGATTAACTTAAATTTTTGCAAGGCTGCAATCCCTTCTTGGGAAAAGAAAACTAAAACAAATTGAGAAAAACAGTGGGAAGTATTTTTACAACTGTAATGGCTCAGAAATTGTAGGCCTGAGTGAGGTTGACTGGAACAATTATTAGTTTCTCCTCCCCACCCCCTATAGTAGACAATATTAATATTTAGCATTTCTTTTTCCATGGAGAATTTCTCCCACTGTTGAGTTGTCTTCCATAATCAAAATTATTTTTAAAGGAATTACAATTATTTCAAAGAAAGTGTCAATCTGATGATGGGAAGAAATAGAGAGATGGGAGCATCTATAAAAACTGGAAAACAATCTGGAAAGATTTGGAGAAATGGTGGAGGAGTGCTTTAGCACTATCACAGTAGTCTAGGGAAGACCAGAGAAGAGACCACATTAACTCTAACTCAACAAACCCCCAGTGCTTGAGTGTGAATCCTAGAAACAGACTTTAGTCTACCTTTATTCACTTCTGTTTCTTCCAGAATGTCATGGTAAATAACAGCACAAAACTGTGATAGTAGGAGAAATGTTTGTAATTTCATGGGAACAATCTGTTTTGAAACATCCCAAACTATACCAAATATAACAATAGTTTTATGTAAATGGTGCTCACGATTATAAAACTTTCTTCCTTGGCCATAAAATATGCCTGGCAGAATCTTAACTACTAAGACATTTTCTAGATTAGATTTTCTCTTTGTATCTAGGAATAAAAACTGTTTTTTCATTTTGAAATATTCTATATTTTTTAATTCTCACAGACTTGGCCAGGTCTTCTGTCTGATGAGTCTGACTTTTTCTGTGTGTGTGTTTAATTTTGTTGTGTTTTAGGTGAAAGTTTCCAGTGCAAATTAGTTTTTCATTCAAAAATTTTATACACAAATTGTTTTGTGACCATAGTTGCAATCCCCACCATGTGTCAGCATCCTCCCCCTTTCCCTTTCCACCCTTGGTTCTCAGTGTCCATTCATCCAATTTGCCTGTCCCTTCCTGCCTTCTTGTCTTTGCTTTAGGGCAGATGTTGCCCATTTGGTCTTGTATACTTGATTGAATTAAGAAGTATGTTCCTCACGTGTGTTATTGTTGTTTTATAGGCCTGTCTAACCTTTGGCTGAAAGGTGAACTTCAGTAGTGGCTTCAGTTCTGGGTTAGCAGGGTGTCTGGGGGCCATAGTCTCGGGAGTTCCTCCAGTCATTGTCAGACCAGTAAGTCTGGTCTTTTTTTGTGAATTGAATTTTGTTCTACATTTTTCTTACATTCTGCCCAGTATCCTCTATTGTGATCCCTGTCAGAACAGGTGGTGGTAACTGGGCACCATCTAGTTCTTCTGGGTTCAGGCTGGTGGAGGCTGTGGTTCACGTGATCCATTAGTCCTTTGAACTAATATTTTCCTGGTGTCTTTGATTTTCTTCATTCTCCTTTGCTCCAAACATGCTGGGACCAGTAGATGTATCTTAGATGGCCACTCACAAGCTTTTAGGACCCGAGACACTACTCACCAAAGTAGAATGTAGAACATTTTCTTTATAATGTCCCCTGAAACCATGGTCCCCAGTCCTTAGCTCTAGTAACTCAGTCCCTCAAGGTGTTTGGAAGTGTCTAGGAAGCTTCTATGACTTTGCCTTGGTCAAGTTGTGCTGACTTTCCCTGGTAATAATGATTTATACTCAACAATTTTTTTCTATAAAGTAGACAGTAGGAAAAGCTTTTCTGGGAGCCTTTGACGAGACTGTCTGTTCACTCTATCCCTGAACTTGCAGCTAGCCAGCCACAGGGTACTCTTGCCCATCTCTTAGTGATCCAAGCAAGGACCAAGATGGAGTCAGGCAGAAGAGACTGACTATAGTGACCCACCAGGCAGGACAGTGTGGCCACAGATTAGGACATACCTTGTGGCTTTCAGTGATGACATCTACGGAAACAACCCTAGGGTTGGGTACAAAAGATCCTGGGAGTGGCAGGTTCATTTAAAACCTTCACAAGACATCACGTTTCCCTGAAATTCTGAGTAAAGGCTGTAGCAGCAGATTTCAGTGAAACTCCCAGACTAGGACAAACTAGGGAGATCTACTTCTAACAATCAGCCAGTGAAAACCCTATGGATCACAATGGCCTAATCTACAAACAATCATGGGGATGGTGCAGGACCGGGCAGCGTTTTATTCTGTTGTGCATGGGGTCACCATGAATTCGGGACTGAATCAATGGCAGCAAACAGCAGCAACAACAAACTCTGATGAGCAAATAAGCAAAAGTTCAGAGGTTAGTGGAAATAGACTGACTGGGGAACCTTTAAGGGAACTAAGGCATCCCAGGCTTTGAACTGAGAAAGACCTGGTTTCAAATGCCAGCTCCACAATTTGCCAAATGTGTGACTTTGGGAGAAGTTGATTCATTGTTTTGAGCCTCGATTTCTTCCCACGTACGGTGGAGCTCATGCTATCTACCTAAGGGTGTTGTTATGGGCTCTGGTGATAATATTTGTTAACCATTCAGCGCAGTGTCTGGCATAAAATAGACATTTAATAACAGATATTATGATCCTGATGATAAAGTTAAAAAATAGACAGGTGTTCAGACTCACTTTTCTATTTCAGTCGCTACTGAGATCTCAATAACTGTTGGGATCTCCTATAGCCTTAAAGGATTAGGAAAATGAACCTCATTGTAGTTCTTGTTAAACACCAAAACCATAAGGGAAGAAGAGCAAAGTAATGTAAGCCATTGTGCTGGGTGCTAAGAGGGGAAATTAAAGTAAAAGAGAAACATATCCCACTGTCTGACCTCCCTTCCTAGGTGAGTGGATGAAGAGGGACTGGGAGGGGTGAGTTATGGACTTGGGCCGGGAAGGGGCTTTCAGGAACTGAGGCTGGGAAAGAGAGCTGGCAGGGCAGGCCTGTGACCCACAAGCAGAAACTGAAGTCTGAGTTGGGTCAGGAGTGGCAGATGGTTCGAGGCCAGGGGCATGGAACCAGGGCATGATTATCTGAATTCTTAAGGGCCAATGGAGAAGGTGGGGAGCCCAAAGGGGGTCAGCAATGGAAGGAGAGGAAAAAGAGGAGCAGGAGGAAGAGGAGGTAGGTTTTAGGGACAATGCCTGGGAAAATTCCCAGAGGAAAAGGGGCATGGAATGCCAAGGGTTGAGGAAGTTGTTAGGATCCCCAAGCCATTTCCTACTGCTACCCACAATACTCACAGTATGTTAAGAAAAATAGTCAGGAATATCAAGTTTAAAACCCAGCTGACGACTTGAGAGATATGACTTGGTATTTTTAAAAAGAATAAATTTATATTGGATGCCTATTACGTGCAGGCACTGTGGTAGTTACTTGAGATACAAAGTTGGGGAAAAGAAAGCATGAAGTTTCTGCCCTCATAGAGCTTACAAGTCAAAGAGAAAGGGAGAAAGGAAAGGGAAGTGTTCTGTGTGCAAAGGCCTCATCAGACTAACATGATTTGTGACTAGAGTTAAGAGACCAGATTCCAATTGGAATGAGCTGAGTTCCCAC